CCTCTCAACGCAAACTGTTCCCCCAACAAAATGCTTTTTAGGTGACGCTTCAGTGTGTGCGGCTCATTCTCAGGTCATAGTCTCTCATCAAACCGCACACATCGCGGCAGAATTGATCAGCACAGAATTTATAGCTTTTCCTGCACAGCCACTGAGATGGTCCCCAAGCCTCCAACTGTGAGAGGAGACCTTAGGATGAAATGCTCAGCGAATGTCAAGGTCAAAGCCTCAGCCACCTGTGGCTTCAGAGTGTGAGACCAGCCTTGGGAGGCAGGGTGAGGCCTCCTTTTGTTGGGTTAGAACTGTGGGTGTTTATTGTTAACTAGAGGCCTGGTGCACAGAAATTTGTGCACTGGGGGGCTTGGGGGGGGAGTCCTTCAGTCTGGCCTGTGCCCTCTCTCAGTCTGGGACCCCTCGAGGGATGTCCACCTGCTGGCTTAGGCCCGCTCCCTGGGGGACCGGGCCTAAGATGGCAATCAGACATCCCACTGGTAGCCCGGGAGCCCTTGGGGGATGTCCACTTGCCAGCGGAGAGCAGGCCTAAGCTGCAGTCAGACATCCTTAGCGCTGCTGAGGAGGCGGGAGAGGCTCCCACCACCACCGCTGTACTGGCAGCCGTCAGCCTGGCTTGTGGCTGAGCAGAGGTCCCCCTGTGGGAGTGCACTGACCACCAGGGGGCAGCTTCTGCATTGAGCATCTGTCCCCTGGTGGTCAGTGTGTGTCATAGTGAACAGTCATTCCTAGTCGTTTTGCTGTTAGGGTCAATTTGCAAACTACCCTTTTATTATATAGGATTTTCTGTAAGTTACAGTGGCTAGAGGACCCCCTGGATGCCAGGGCCCCCCAGCGGTCCCCACGCCCCCCGTACAGAGCGGAGGCCGCCGCCCCTGGTCTGTCCCCACATGACGCTGGCGGTGCTGTCTGTTCCCTCCGCTGAGCTCACCTCCTGGCCCCCCTTCATTTCACAGGGGGCGTCTGTCTTTCTCTCTTCATTTTCTCTGTAAATCCTCACCCCAGGGTTTTCCCACGGGTTTAGGGAGCCGGGGAGGGAGGGGAGGGGAGGAGAGAGAAATAGGAGAGAGAGGCCTGGCTGGGCCGCCTCCTGCACACACTTGCGGGGGTAGGGATCCACCTGCACCCAGGTGGGTGCCAGGGATCAGGGCTGATGCACTAACCACTGAGAAACAGGCCAGGGTGGAAGTTTACGTTTCTCATGCCCCTGCCCCTTGGCCCAGGAGTCCTGCAGCCCCTGGGAGGCCAGGGTCTGAGCAAGGGCTTCTAGGAGTGGGGGAGGTGGGGTGAGGATGGGGACACTCCCCAGGCCTGTCCTCTGCCCCAGAGCCAGGCCCCGGGCTGCCAGCATCACCAGCATCACCAGCATCACCACCATCACCAGCAGCATCATGGCCGCAGCAGGGG